CCTGTGGCGCTGCCAGGTGGCCTCGGTCACGTGGGTTCGTGACGTAAGGGGTAAAAGAATCTTGAGGTCATGGGGCTTCCCCTGACCTAGATTCTATCTCTCCGTCACCGGCAGAATCGCTGATTAATGCCTACAGTTCAAAATAGTCATTTTGACTGACCGGAGTCTATGGTGGGTAATTGCAGTATATCAAAGAGTTGTTGTCATGAGTACAATGAATAGCTGAATGTAATTATTATAAATGTCCACCCCTGCAAAGGAGTCCAACTCTTTGAATGCCATATTTTTTCTCACAAAAGTTTTTTGAAAAGCATTTTGCAATTTTTTTTGCATTTTTTATAATTTCTTAATTAATTTTGAAACCAAATGGACACAATTTCACATTGGTTACAAGTTTTGATAAATTTTTTTTGAAAAAAAACAGTTATTGTCAATGCATAGTCCCTGTCAACCACAAACAATTATAGATGTAGATAAATTATAATTAAATGTTGGTTCAAATAACACCTTAGCTAGGTTTTGTTCAGTTGGACTTCCTAGGAATAAAATCATTTTGTTCATCTGAGGTTTTGTATCCTCAGAAATTATAAATAGAAATATCTGTTTGCTTTTATTTCCTACACGTTTTATTAATGTTTTCAAACAATTTAGAGTTAATTTTATAGACAACTGTTGTGTTTTAAGGAATATCTCTATTACGGTGAAAATAATTGACGAAATGGCGTCCCCTCTGGTAAACGCATTTGCTTTGTTCCTGTTTTTCCGTGTGTTTTTACGCTCAAGAAGAAGACAATGACAAACGATTTATCGAGATTTCGAAGAGCAAGTAATCGCCAACTTGTTAGGTCGAACAAGACCGAGAAATGATTGGTTCATGTTCACGCTATTCGTGTGTATGAATAACCATGGATGTACGTCTATGGAATAACGCAACAATAGACCCAGCAACCCAAGCAATTTGGACTTGACAACGCGGAAATAACTGGTGGGAAAACAACATGCAAATGATTCACTATTAGCATTAAAACAGGTTCAACAAATTTAACTTCATGCCCTTTTACTACATATACTACATAGAGGGCGTTGTATTGTGTTCACACAGCACATTGCGTTGTGCAAGAGCCGGTGTGACAGCGGTGTTTAGGATCTGGTCCACCCCTTTTATGACGGTGTCAAAAACGCCGACAACACAACTGCATATTCTGTTCAAACACACATTTTAACAAAGTTCTCAAATAAAAGGTGTTGTGACAACGGCTTATTTCGTCCAGTGAGAACACTGCTAAAGTTGCTATTTTAGTTTTGTTTACTCAATTTTTTGTTTAAATCAAACAACATAATGAATAATTACCGGTAATCACACAATGCAATGTTTACAATAAAATCATTTAAAACAAACAGGTTTTTCATTTATAGCTCTATTCTTGTTGTTCAAGCCAAACCATAGAAGATGTCTTGACAATGTTATTAGACAGTGTAAGACAGTGACTTTCACAATGAATTGGACATCTTGGGGGGGGGGGGACTCCACCGTACTTCCCTGTTTATTTTCACTTCAGCCATGCCCACCATTATAAGTAGAGCACCATCCTAATTGTTGATGTTTCACTGATATACAGAAGGATTTAAACCTAATTGCATTATTTTGTTGCTTTTAAATTGAATTGAAATTTTAAATTTGTGAAATTAAACATTGTGAATGAATAACATTTGTAGTAGTTTACTATGTACATTATAGTCACTATTTACTTACACTGTAAATACAAGATAAGCCACACTTCCGGCATTCATTCATGAACAGTGAGTTCACAACTATTATATACTGACACAAATTCATCAAGCTGTGTTTTTAAAATCACAAATAGCGAAGTGTGCAAAATATGATTATGTAAGTTAAACCACAGTCCCTCTATCATAGATAGAGGGACTGTGGTTAAACCTTGAACATGAGATTACGTTTAGTTACAGGGCTCCGCCCATATTTACATTACAATATTGTACTATAAATACTGTGTGCAGCCATTTTGTATAAGGTATTTGAGTGTTCGCATAATTATGGTTAGTTGTAAACCATGTAGGTGCGGTTTTTGTGTGTACGTGTATGGAGATGTTGTGGGTGCTATTGACCTAAATAAACATCAACGGAGCTTCCGGATTGCTAGTTCGGAGATGTGGTCACAGCAAAGTAACTTGGCGATTAGTGGAAGAAGTATAATGATTCTCTTATCATTTGTCACGTAAGATCATGTAGAATAAATTGCTCCCACCACTGACGACAAAACTTACCTCGAAAATCAGTATATGATTTTATCGACAACGGTTCTCGGGATTGCGGAAGAAAGAATGTAATATGTGCGGGATTGTGGGGTCGAGTGTGAGAGTGAATCACGAACCTTTCTGATCATGCGCAATCATCCAAGCATTATCGGGGTCAAAGGTCGTCTGCACCTGAAATGAGTCCATAGTGGTGAAACAAAGTCGCCTATTTTCCGGTTGGAGATCGTATATGTGACATACGTGGCAGGTTTGTGGTTATTTTTTGTGCATATACATTTTAAAATAATAACGCAATTGCTGACGTTGCGCTTATAGACAATGTATTGCGGGAACCCTGGAACTGGAGGGGTTCAGGTTACGTGAACACCAGACACCCAAACGCAGATCGAATTCGGGAAAGAACGCTCCCCTTGTATATTTCGAGTGATGCTTACACACTGGACATACGATTAATAATGACGATAATTTGTCTATTTTGCAATACATTGGCAAGATGATGTTCAATGTAATTTTTTCGATTTAATCCAAATGTTTGTTTAAAGGGTCAAACTCAGATGTGACCCTGTGACCACAGACATTTATAACGCTCTTGGTTAGGAGACAGTCCCTCTACTATCACTATCAATGTGATAAGGATATGCCCTCATAACCGTGAACTGTGAAATGTGACCCATATCATATGTGTCCTAGACACCTCCCCATATTGGAATGATTTGACTGTGAAGGGATAAATGTTATTAGATTTAGATATTAGATTTGGTGCACAAATATTTAAATGAATACTTATCGTATAGTGGTCAGTCAGTGTTCAGTAAACTTTGAAAGGAAAGGTCCTTTGACACTGACTTGCTTTTACAATTTTAACATTCTGTACTTGACAATAATAGTACTTCTTGTACCTGCATTTATCTAAATTTATTCTAGTAAATCAGTCATTGTAATTTCAAGCACTTTGAACAAATTTGATGGGATCTATTATTTTCGTTCATGGCAGTAAATCGGTCAAGGATTGTAGAAACCCCGCAAAGACGCATGGGTTTTTTGGTACTTGAAAAAAACAACCTGAGCCTAACAATATAGAATCACTTTATTGTATAACTATTTCAAAAAAAATTGTTGTTTTTATAATATCTCACAATTTCCTGTGTTCTGTACATCTGATCCTTTTTATGTCCTTTTGCTGTGACTTTTCATGAATTGAACTAAATACATTGTTTTCTTCGCAGGACCATTGATTATGGTGGCTGAGATCACAAGACTAGAAAGAAATAGTTTTGTTGCTTGCAGAACCATCAGTGAAGTGACTTTTGGTAATCATGGCAACAGGTCATCTTCCCTCCCCCATCATGAATGCCAAACAATTCCACAAACCAGAGAAAGACAAAGATGGCTACCTCATTCCTGTTGTTCCCAAGAAGGTGCTCGCGCCACCAGGCTTTGTGACTGCAGTTGAATTCTACAATTATTTGAATGGTGAGCTTGGCTATCCTTTTATTCTTGATGACCAATATCTCCTAATTCTGGATTCAAGAACAAACTGTGAGTACTTAGAATGCCATATTGCCACTGCTCGGATGCACACAGATATCCACATTGTTTTCGAATGCCTCCTTGACTTAGGCAAATTGGATGCGTATTCTTTTATTGTAATTTACGACTATGACGGCAGTGGTGTTAATGTGGAAAATTCACAGTTGATGAAGACCTATAAAGAAATACGAGAGCAGGGCCATGATGTTGAGATTCTACTTGGTGGGATTCAGCAATTCAGCAGCAAGTTTCCTTTCCTCTGTACAGATAAAATCATCAATACAGAGCCAGATAGACGAAGGCTTCTGAAAAACTATCCAGCAATAGTTTTTGATGATTTTCTCTTTCAAGGAAATGGAGAGCATGCTATTGATAACGAGGTGTTCATCAATCTTAAAATCACACATGTTGTCAATATCAGCGTTGAAGTGCCAAATGCTTTTCCTGAACATGTTGTCTACTTCAACATTCAAGTCACTGATGAAATCTCGTCGAAGATTCTTACAAAACTGTCAGCAGCAGCAGATTTCATTGCAGAGTCGATTGCCAATGGTGGTCGGGTGTTTGTTCACTGTGTGCTTGGTGCCAGTCGTAGTTCCACGGTCACTATCGCCTACCTCATGAAATACCATGCTTGGACTCTAGAGGGTGCTCTTCGCTATCTAAAAGAGTGTAGGCAGTGCATTTCCCCAAACCGAGGCTTTCTATGCCAGCTGTCTAAGTTTGAAGAAGAACTCTATGGAAAAGTTCTGACAAGTATTGATCATATTTGGGTTTAAATAGTTATGTCTTGATTACAGGTTAATAAATGATTAATTACATTTTTGTTTAGGTCAAATACATTATAATTGAACTTGCAAATACTTTGAGAGCAAACTTATTTGAAACTTACATTATATACTGGTTTGCCAGTCTGCTTAGGATTAAACTATGTCTCTATAATACATTTAGGTCACTCTGTTAGTCCAGAACTAGTCTGGTATCCTTTTGTGATGGTCCAGAACTAGTCAGAAATCCTTATCTGTGATGGACCAGAACTAGTCTGGTATCCTTATGTGATGGTCCAGAACTAGTCAGAAACCCTTATATGTGATGGTCCAGAACTAGTCTGGTATCCTTGTGTGATGGTCCAGAACTAGTCAGAAATCCTTATATGTGATGGTCCAGAACTAGTCTGGTATCCTTTTGTGATGGTCCAGAACTAGTCAGAAATCCTTATCTGTGATGGA